AGGAGGAGGGGAGTGGGGAGGGGGAGGGGGAATGAACTGAGAAATGCAGGAGAAATATAATCCTGATATTGTTTGAACACCTGGATCAAGCCGTCCCTGCAGATGGAACTCCTAACTTCTGTTTTGTTTAAGCTGAGTTAAAGTCAATCTTATGACTCTTGTCACCAAAGAATAGTGAAACCGTGGGAGAATCAAGTCATGTGCTAAGTGTAGCCACAAGGATCCGAAGAATCTGGTTGGAGGCGCAGCAGAAAGCAGTAGTTAGAGGGGCACGGCACATCACTGGGTGGCACTGCTGAGATTTCATAGCTGCCATAGACCTTCAGTCACCTGGCCAGGTCCTACAACAGCTGCTCTTAGGTTTCCACTCCTCGTGTTATAAATATTAATGGAGTGCCAAGGGGTCAAGCATTGCTCAAGGTGCTTTGAACACAGCAGGGAACACAGACAAGGCCCCTGCTCCTGTGGACTGTCCAGTGCAGGGTGGGACAGACAGCAAAGAAGGAAGAGAATCCACAACCAGGAGCCTTTGAGGTGCTGACAAGTGCTGTGATGACAATAAAGTGATGGAATAAAGAATGAAGGAGAAGGCACAGGGTGAGCCAGGGGGTTAGAGGAGGTGGCATCTGAAAGAGACCTGCTGGCCTAGGCAGGCTCAGCCACGCAGAGACAGGGAGGAGCAGTCCAGCAGAGGGACAGTCGCTGCAAAGGCCCTGAGGGAGGAATCAGCCTGAAGGCCAGTATGGCTGGGGTGAGACAGCAAGGGGAGGGTGGAGGGAGATGGGGCCAGAGCATGGGGAAGCCCCAGATCACACCGAGCCTGAGGCCACCATGAAAGAGGGTGCACGGGGTTCTAAGCAGCAGTGTGATGGGATGGGATTCATCATTCCATGAGACGTGTTTAGCCCTCTACAGCCAGACAAACACACACAATCATGAGCTAGCTTTCCTTATGACTCAAGAAGCCGGCCTCAAACAAAGATGTCCTTGCCTTTGTGCCCACTGGAGGCAAGAACATGAGGCTGACCAAGAGGAGACAGCCCAAGGCCTACATAATTGAGGCTGAAACAATGTCCCCCTAGAACCCTCTCACCCATGACCAACCATCTCCTTGACTGTCGAGCCCTCTTTTCTGAAGCCCAGGGAACCAAGACCCCGAAGTGAGAGGATGAAGTACATGCAGTGTGGAGAAGGGCGTCAGAGAGCAAGCCATATGCATGCAGAGATGCAACACGTGAGCGAGGTTTATGACTTCGTGTTTTATTACCACTTTTGTTTCTTAGAGCAAACTTTTAAAGAATTGCTCCCAAGCCTCCCTCATCCATCAAGTTCCTCCCAATAAATCTCCCGATTACTCTGATCGCCACTCACAACAGGCCATTTCTTCTCCCCCTGTCCCTGAGCCTACAGCAGATTAATTAAAGGGGACGCCAACAGGAGCTTGCAGCCTTAAATCCATCACTATGGGACGGGCCTGTGGTGGCCGGGACAGATGACAGTGGAGTGAACCTAGCAAGAGGGAGGGCGAGAGGAAGAGCCTCACACACAGCAGCAGACACTGCATATCTGGAAAGGCAGACTCCAGAGAAACACCTCCCTCCCCGAGGACAGGATGGACGCCGTATCCAGTAAGGAGCTAACCGATGGCCAGGACCATATGAGCTTTCAAAACTCAAGTCAAGCTGGAAAAGAGGGGCGGGGATTGGTGCGGTTGTTGTTATAATCAACAAGAAGTTCATAGTTGAACTATCACATCAGGTACAGCTGAATTCAAGGGCTCAAAGGACCTGATCAGACTCGGTTCCTCTCTGCCTCTCAGCTCAGCTCCTCTCTCTATGTGATGGCCTCATTCCCAGCCTCCCAGGCCCAACAGAGAGGAAGAACCCTTTCTGTGGCCTCCCAGAGCCTGAGACCCAGCGAGAGCACCAGCTCAGTCAAGCGCAGGGCAGAGGGTGGAGCCCCACCTCTGTCACTGGACTGACACTGAGTGAGGATGCTGGTCATATGAAAACCGGAGCAAGTGGGGCGGGCACTATAGAGGACACAGATGTCCACTACAACAAGAGTTAGCAAAGGCACATTTGCAGAATGCCTTTAAGAACTGTTCTTTCATGATGGAAAGAGCTAACTAGTTCCAGTGCCCATAAAATCAGGATGCTGTTAAAATGCATCAACTCTACCCAACTGAGAATCTCAGCAATCAGGTAGGAGGTGGGAAGTGAGGCTGAGGGCATTACTGTGGTGGAGGTCTCCTCACAGGCACATGGCCCCAGGATGGGGCCCTTCACCAAGAGCTGTGATGACTGCAGCTACTGAGGGGCCTCCTGAGGACGGTCCTAGGGCAGCAGAGCTGGGGCAGGAGTGTGGTTCAGTGAGTGGACGCCTCCTCCGTTGCATCTGACCATCTGAAGAAAGGCTGTGTCAGCCAAGTAATCAATTTTCTGTCTACTTGTATTTCTGATTAATATTAATAATGGCTAACATTTACTCAGTATTTACTCTATGGTAGGCATTATGCTGTCTACATGGATTGCCTCATGAGGTAGGCATTATCAACGAGTCCTCCTTTACAGATGAGAAACGGAGGTGGAGAGAGATTAAGAAATTTAACCAGAGCTGGGCTGGAAGCTGGTCAGCCTAAGTCCAGAGCTTGAATCTCCGCTGAGGTGGCGTTCTGCTGCTTTCACCCATAGCCTATGCGACTTAATCATGCTGCAAGGTTCACTACCTTGTAAGTGGTGTCCCAAGACTCTAGACTTAAAATTCCCTAAGTACACAAATTGATATGACTGCTGTTAATAATCTAGCAAGCTAAGTCTTACAATATTAGTTTAACAAGAATACACAGCAGTGTTTTCCATCTAATTAATTTTTCAGAATCCTGCTTTTCTAATCCGTCTGCATATGCACTTGTTACCTGTTGAGTGTCTACTATGCACCAGGCATGGGGGTGATAAAGATGCAAAGGCTGGGCCCCCACCCACCCTGGCTGGTCTCCCCCTCACCTTCAGCTGTTTGACCTTCTCTTTTCAGCATCTGGACAGCTCCCACATACTTCTTCAGCTGGACTTTGAGCACCTCATTTTCCCTGCAGGTAGAAGAAAGTTTAAAAAAATATTTTAAAAATTTGGCAATTAGACTGAAGGCAGGGGTTGGGGGCAGGGGTCTGTGTGAAAGGATGAGTTAGCAAAGCACATCTGCAGAATGCCTTCAACAACTGTTCTTTCATAATGGAAATGAGCTAACTGGTTCCAGTGCCCATAACATCAGGATGCTGATGTGCTATGCTCAGGTTATTTGAATCTATCAATCTGTTAGGTAACTATTCTGTGCCAAGCACTCTGTAATATACTCTCCATTTACAGAAGAACAAACCAAGTACTGCATATTCAACCTGGGGGATACTCTTAATGTCTTTATTAACTACAAAATGTACTGGATATTCATTATTTGCCAGGCATCATGTGAAGTCTTTAGGTATCTCATTTAATCCTTCCAAGGTATTATCAGAACATCATTTTAGAGATGAGGCATAAAGAGGAGAAGCAGTTGACCAAGTCTACCCCCACTCCCCATGTAAGACCGTGCTGTGAAGCATGGAACTCAGGCTATAAGACCCCACACTCTGCTCAATTCCCTCTCCAGGTACACTGGCTAAGAAAAAGAACATGGGGATCAGGGGCAGAAAACTATCATTTGTTGAGTATTTATGACATAGCTCAGACTATACATACATACGTGACCTTGATGAATCAAGCACGCACTCATTCATTTATTCATTCTTCATTCAGTGGGAAAAGGTTTATTAAGTGCCTATGATGTGTCAGGCACGATGACACTATCATATTCTTCCCATGAGAGTGGAATTGGGATATGGATCAGGTCTCCAACCATGGTCACAAGTAAGACACACTACTGAGATCCAAATCTAGGTCTGTCGGACCCCAAGGCTCAGTAGAGCTTTTCTCTGTCTCCTGTAGGATTTGGACTTGGCTGCTCACCAGCTACCCCAGCCAGAGGTGCTTCCTCCACATTTTTGGTTCTGCTCCTCCCCTCAAAGCCCTTACGCCTGAATGCCTTTGAATGAGCTAGAGTATTTCCTCACAGCAAAACAGCTGTAAGATTGGGTTTCTTTTATGCTTATAAAAATAAATTTAAAAGTAAAAATACTCACTTGAAAATACTCAATTAGAACACATTTAAGAAGGAATGTGAAAATCAGCTGAAAATCCAACACCTTGAAAATAAATCCAACATTTTTATGACTTTTCTATCATACCCCTCACTAGACATGCATGCATACACACACATACTCCTAAATATAATTTTATGTGGATGAAACATCTTTCACATTCCTTTAATCTTTTAATGTTTGAAGTGTTATTCCCTTGTTTACTGTTCCATCACCATTTTCCCATGGTAATCAATCAATGTTAAAAACCTGGTATACATATTAATGCCGCCCTCCATGCTCACAGTCACTAACTACAAACCTGATATACTCAGGTAGAGTTTACTTTATAAAACCGGATTATAAATTTTTCTACAACTGGGTTTGTCTCATTTAAGAACTCACCACTAGAAGCCTCTAACTCGGTCTATTTATGGGTGCAAGTGCCATTCCTTGATATGGATATGCCACAATTTACTCAGGAGAAAGCCGGAGACTGCCCAACGCAGGCTCTGCCGTTTGCTTTCAGTGCACTTGACTACATCTCTGCCCGCAAAGACAGTGTTGTGTTTGTATTTTGCTTTTCTGAACTATTTTGGCAGAAAGAACATCCACACCAACTGCGGATATACTGCCATATACTCAGGTGTCCCCTGAGAACTCCACACTCATCTCAGAAGCTTTAGAGGAAGAATATAGAGGAGCCCCTTAATTAGCTTACTCCCCCTTGACAGCCTACCATGGGTGTGTCTACAGGTATCTGCACTTTCTCTGTCTGTGATATGAATAGCGAACATCTGAAGCTAAACAACTAACAAATCCTGAAAAGGCCTGTGGGAGAAAAAAATATTCCCCGATGTACGCAGATTTACACTTGTTTTCTTGGGCTCCCTAACCAGAGTCTTGTCACTCATCTCAGGCTAGCCCTAACCTCCACCTGTGAATTCAAATCACATATGACCTGAAAACTAAGGAAAGGACATTTATATGCATTTCTATGTGGTATAATTTAATATGATTTGTGGCAGAGCGTCCCCCAAGAGGCAAGCTGGGCAGGCTCACTCCGGCCGGCTGACAGGCGCGTCACGTCAACATCTGGCTGCTCTGTCTCACTTGCTCACACCACACAGGCCAACCCTCGGCTCCCTTATTCATCTTCAACTCTGCAATCAGCATTGAAATGAAAAGGGGCTGCTTGTCTTCTGATCTGGATCAATCTTTTAATCAGGTCTTAAGACTATCTAAATATCAGATCTAACAGATAAAAGCCAAGACCTTTAATATAAATCTGACTTCCATCAAAATGAGGAGGAGCCATGAAGGATATATCAAACCACTGGGTTGGACACCTTTGGGAGCCATAAACTCATCCCAGCCAAGTTTGTACGAATGAATTTGTGTGCCTTCGTGGGAAATGAACACTTCCAGGTCCCTGGAACTGCTTCTGAATAAAACTCCAACACCTGGAGGACACACTGGCCGCTCCAAAATGCAACTAGCTCCTGATCCCCCATCCCTCGACAGGATGAGGCCCATTTTTTTTTTAAGTAATTTTAGATTCACATGAAATTGCAAAGACAATACCAAGAGGTTGGCCATATATACCCTTGGCCCAGTCTCCCCAATGGTTACACCCTATGTAACTATGGGGCAATGGCAAAACCAGACTCTGACAACGTGCACGCATGGTCCTATCAAGCACCTAACAGGCCTCTGCCCCAGCGCGCCTCTAAAATGGACCACTGCAGGTCCGGCCACGAGTAAAGCAAACCAGGTACAAGTACAAGAGGGAAGAGGGGGTGGGTGGCTTTGGCAAACTACAAAGCCCCATCAAAAGGTATTTTTAGCACATTAAGTGACCCAAGAAAATATTCCTAGGCTCTAGACAACTAATCTGCAACCAGTCTGAATTTGGAAAGAAAGGAACTACATAGAATTCACCATTCTTATCATTACACAGGTCTCTGTTATGATTATCAAATAAAAATGCCTTTTCATTTGACACTTCATGAGACAACAGAATGGATCAATTAATTAAGCACATCCTAACTACGAAAGGCCTCAGAATTGCAATAATGACTAAGGCCCATCTCAGCAGAGGCCTTCGACCCCGCACAAGTCGCGGACCAAGAGTCTGCCAGCCTAAACAGTGAGAGGCAAGGTGAGCAGCAAGACCAAACCTGCCCAGGGCCCTGGTACATCAGCACCCACCTCAGCCCAGGCAGCCTGTCTTCAGAGCCTGGGCGCCTACCGTCTTCACTATACACCATCCTGCACGTGTGGAGGGAGGGATGTTTGCATGCATGTGCACATGTATGAGAGAGTGAGAGCGACAGAGCCCAGAAGGCTATATACATCTGGTGGGTGATGAAGCTGCTGGGGGGGAGCCGTCCCTTCACCTTCTCCTTCTCTGGTGAGGCACCTCTACACTGGTAGCACGGGACTGAGTGAGCCTGTGAGGACAAGACCTCTGAACAAGGAGGCACAGATGGTTGGCGCCCTGTCAGCTACATCTTAGGGCAACTTTCCTTCCCGTTTCATGGGACTTTCCTCCTCTCTGGCCCTAATGTGTGCCGGGCTTAGCTGAAGATCACCTACAACACCTGGCTCTTTCTGCAACTAACGGAGTGATTTCCTTAGGACCCAATCTGAAAAACCATCCAGAAAAGTTGGGGGTAGGGGTGCTGTTATTGTAAAGGAACCATCAGTGCTGACCTTCCAAAATGGGCTTCCTTTCTGAGGGTTCAACCCATTTCTCCACCACCATCCCGTGAGTCATCACTGGTGCCACGGGGACAGCTGGTTTACTTCCCACCCTGTGTGACCAGTCAGTGGCCCATCTGTCAGTGGCTGTGCTCTCCCCGAAGATTTAGTCTTTCAGCTGCAAATCACACATCTGGCTCAAACGAGAACTACAAAAGCTAAAGCCACACCTGTTAGGACACCGACAACACGAAATGCTGACGAGGATGTGGAGCCACAGGAACTCTCATTCACTGCTGGTGGGACTGCAACATGGTGCAGCCACTATGGAAGACAGCCTGGGGGGTTCTTACAAAACTAAATATACTCTTCTCTTACTATGTGATCCAGCAACCTGCTGCCTGGTATTTAATCAAGGGAGTTGAAAACTTAAGTCCACACAAAACCTTGCACACAATATTTAGCAATTTTATTCATAATTGCCAAAACTGGAAGCAACCAAGATGACCTTCAATAGGTGAATGGATAAACAAACTGTGGTGCATCCAGACAATGGAATATTATTCAATGGTGGAAAGTAATGAGCTACATAGCCATGAAAAGACAGGGAGGAGACTAAAATGCATATTGCTAAATGAAAGAAGTCAATTTCAAAAGACTACAAACTTTGAATCCAACTACATGACATTCTGAAAAAGGCAAAACCATGGGGACAGTGAAAAGGTCAGTGGTTGCCAGGGGTTGGGGGGAAAGCTCAACAGGTGGAACATGGGGGATGTTCAGGGCAGTGAAATTATGTGAGACAATAATGGTGGGCACCAGTCATTATACATCTGTCCAGAGCCACAGAGTGAACACCACCAAGAGTGAATCCTGATGCACACCATGGACTGTAATAACAATGTATCAGAATTGGTTCATCAATTGTAACAAATGTGCCCTACCAATGCAAGATGTTAATAAGAAAAGCTGGGGAAGAAGGCAATGAAGGGGTGTAAGGGAACTCTCTGTGCTTTGTTCATGTTTCTGTAAACCTGAAACTGCTCCCAAAAAGCCACTTGTCACCCTTGTCATTTGCCAAGAGAATTGCTGCGTCTCCCTGTAGGCGCCTGTGTCTGTAGGTACCTACAATCCTGGCTGACCCTGCTCCGCTCCCTTCTCTCCAGTCAGCACTGAACAGTGTCAGCTACTGCGAGTGTCATGTCCTGGTGAAG